CGGGAAGGGGCGAAGATCTCAGTCCCTTACGGGATATTGTTCGGTCCGTGCCCCGGGCTGCCGGGGAGGGCCTAGGGTGGTTCCGGCAGTGGGTTTGTCATTGTGAGGGGCTCGGGGTCCCCTTCGTTACTGTGTGTCAGGTTATTTACTGCTGTTTTTAAAGAGAATTACGGTGCTGCTATGCACCGTATGAGGGCAATTGAAAATATATTGCCACACTGAAGTGGCAGTCGCGGGGCTTCCACATCGCTTGGGGGTCAAGTGCTTGGAAATAATGTTTCTTTTTATTTATTTCTTATGTTCGAGCTTTTAAAAATTGTTAATCAGCAGTATTGCTCGTTATTGGCTTCACTTACTAAGCAGTTTCCACAAATGTGACTTTAAATGTGCCTCGTTTTCTTTAAACGGGGATAACAAGAATTTCAGAGCTCTAACAGCATCTCATCGTCACACAAAAGAATAGGAAGAAAGGTAGCTAACAGATTATCTTTTTAGTGGTATTAATGGGTTAGCCGAGATGCTGCCCACAATTAATAAGCCACAGAGAGGCAATCCTAGTGAATTTGAAGCAACGTCACTCCAGATAGTGATGTGTTGCAGGTATGAGTTGCGAGCTTTTGTGCTGTCTGTGTGCAGGCAGTGTGTGCACTGGTTTCTCCAGAAGAGCAGTACATACACTGCACACCAGAAATCTTTGGAGTTTGGATTGTTTTGTTGTCAAAAGCAAAGGAATATGCTAGAAATGCACTTTTTGCCAGCTCTTGGGTGCCTTTATCTGCCCACATCCCCCAGTTCACGGCCTTGCAAGTTGCCAAAAGTCCTGTTCATTAGCAGTGTCAGCTGTTCCACTGAGCTGTGAATTAAGGTGGTGGAGATCTTACACTTGCTCTTCTGTTTTGGAGGGTTGAAATTTGGTCACGACCAGCACAGGAAAATTTTGAGTAGTCTTTGCTAAACGGACAAGAAAACACAACTTTATCTGAATCTTTAAACTGTATCTGACTTTAATACTTGTGTATTAGGCTTTATTCTTATATTTTTCTTATGAAAAATTATTAGCTGGAAGTTTGATACAACGTATATCTTAGATTATTATGATTGTGTATATCTTAGGTTATTATGATTAACATTGGCTGCTTCTTGATGTATAACCCCTAACACTCTGCTCCTCAACCACAGAACAATATGCTGGATTTCGTATTTGCTGTTGATGATTCTGTGACCTGGCATATGATGAACTTGTTAAAGAACAGGAATCATTATTCCTTCCTAAAATTTTTTGGGCCAAAACAGATAACTAGTATGCAGAGCTACGGAGCAGGAATTTACTACAACACTTTAGTGCCATGTAATGGTAGGGTAAGTATGATTAGTCTTTGTACAAGTACAAATTAAGTAAAATATTTGTCTGTGTGAAGTAGTGAAATGATTAGCTTAAAGCAAATTTCAGGAAGCCAATCTTGTAGATTGTAGCTGTCGATTAACTCATGGTATCTTCAATATTTCTGTCTCAAAACTGCTTCACAAACAGCATTTTAATTAAAAAGCAAACAGACCAGCTGCTCTTGCACCTTAAAAGTGTGAGCAATGTTTGGAACTTAGAGCTAAAGTGCTTCAGAAACTGTATTTATATTCCTTATTACTCATTGTCTGCTAGCTTTGGTGGTGGTACAGTGTATTCTGGGAAAACAGGCCCTTTAACTTCAGCAGTGGACCACGTAGTAATAGCAAAGTGGATTCTTACTGTTTGTTTGGCACAAAATGCAAATTGCAACATAGCAAGTTGGAACTGACACCTGTGTTCTTTGGTGTTGGCAATCCTGACCTGTGAGGCTTGGGTGTAATTCTAGGTAAGTGGTCCAGCAAGTGTCCAGCAAGTTGTAGATCTCTGACAAACTATTTCTTGAGTATTTTCAATATCATAAAGGATACTGTGGATTAATCAAAATATTGTAACATTTGGCCGGAGACTTTATTGCAGCTTTGATTCTAGAAAAGATCTTAGAGTTCCAGGCATTCCATTTTTCCCAGAATTTTGCATGTAAGTAGGAAATTTTTCTTTTACCTCCTGTGTTAATTAAAACATGAAAATGTTTTACAGTTTTTTATTGGAGGCGTGTGTTCTTTAGAATGAATGACAGGTATGTCAGGAAGTAGTAAGTTTCATGTAGTGAAAAAGGTATAGGTATGTTTTTTCAAAAGCTTTTATTTTGCTTTTTCCCCAGATGATAAAATATGGTGTAATTAGCACTGATACCCTGATTGATGATTTATTTCACTGGAAAACCCTCTATGTCGCTGGGCGCCTACAAAAGCCGGTAACTGTTTACCTGTTCAGTTTTTTGTCTTGAAATGCAGGAAATTACAGGGCTGGAAAATGATCAGTTTTAGTTTTAACTTTATCTGTTAAGGATATATTGGTACTGAACAAATAATGTGCCCTGATTCAGAGGTGTAGCCCTGGAGGGATAATCTCTCAGAAAGGAAGTGAAATGTAGTCCTTAATTACACTCAGTGTGATGTGGAAAACCCACAAAGGTAAGTATGTTAATAAAAGCTTTCTGCCTGTAGTAAATCTTGGGTAACTGGACTATATTAATGCAAAGTCCCTTTAATGTTAAATGTATTGTATGCCTTTCATAACAGACATAGGGGTCACCAAAATTTAATGTGGGTAAATAATAGAAATCTTTAAAGGTGAAAGCTGCTTTGCTGTGCAGTTACTGTCTAGTGCATTGTATTGTTAAAGTATTTATAACTGAATGAACTATGGGTTAAACACGTGTGTTTTTCTCCTCCGTGTTTGTGTCATAAAAAATAGGAGGTGTTTGCTTTCCCCGAGTGGTTTCAGCAGATGGCAGCAGGGCTGAGGAAAAATTTGTTAAGACAGGAGGGTGAGAAGGAGAGGAGAACTCTTCAGGTCTTAGAACAGAAGTTAATTATGCTTTTAACTAAAAATTTGGGAGTGAAAGTTTGAATAGATTGTCTCAGCACTACTGGCTTTTCTCTATCTCCAGAGACGTATTGTAGCATGATACAGGTCAGAGCAGCTGTTATCTCTGTAAAGAGTGAAACCTAATACACTGAGAAAAATAACTGAAGGAAAAATCCTGAATGTCACATTAACAATGAATAGTGAATAGCTATTTTCAGTGTAACTGCACTTGCTGCTACTTTGATTTGTGATATGGTACAGTGAATAGATCCAATTAAAAGTTCTCTGTACTGTGAAAAAGCCTTCCTTAACTTTGGTGCTTTTTCAGATTTACTCCAAGAATCAACATCCAGCCTTTTTGTACCAGGGTGTTAACTATTGCATTCTGACTTCCTGGGAGATTTTTAGCTCTCTGAACTGTTTAAAATTTGTTCATAAATTAATTTTATCACCACTGCAGTGTTTCCAGGCATGCAGATTTTGAAGCCTAGCATATTGTTTTCCTCGGAAAAAATTCCTGTGGTCTTCCATAAGATCTCTTTGGAGTTTCACATTTTAAAAGGCTGTAACTGTGGTGTTCTTAAAACAGGTCCATAACATGGTGCTATTTACAGGGCTATCCTAAGGTATAAGCACCTATATGAGTGTTTGTGGTGCCACAGACTTCTCTCTTCTGTCTTTCCTTAGAGATTCCCTGTAGCAGCAAGTTATGAACATACATTTATTAGTTCATCCCCATGACCAGCATGTCTTAGTTATTGAAACTACTTAAGCAAGTCTGTTATGCATTCAGTAACCTTCTCCTGTGGCTTTCAAGGAAATAAATAAATAGTGCAGAATGATTGAAACAAGTGACCTCTGTACTGTTGCATTCACCATCATATCAAAATCAGATATTATTAAAGTTTTATGCCTCTTAAAGATTTTGCCGTAACTAAAAAGTATGTTCTGAATATCAGCAATGTCAACCATGACATTGCTTTGGCTGTGTCCTTTCTATAGTAAGAATTGTGTATAGCAGATATGTCTGATTGTCATACTTTATTGAACCTAGATTTGGTTTTGGGGTTTTTCCCCCATTGATTAACAGGGTATTTGTATTCCTGAAGAAAAATAGTTACTTGAAAGGGTCCCTTAGCTGTTTCAGGTTATATGCGGGGGCAGAATTTCAGGTAATACTGCAACTCATTTGTGTGTGAATGGGCTTTCGGGGAGAAAGAACAAATGGGTACCTTTGTTCATAACTGCCAGAGCCTTTGCATTTTAAGGTATTGTAGGGTAAACAGATATTAAAAAGTCTGCCTTTTATAAGCAAGACACTTGAAAAAGACAGCAACTGACAACAAGCAGGGATTCCTGAAGAGTTGTTTCTGGAAGAGCATAGTTATAGAGCCATCTTGTAAACCAGGATGACTTCGTCTGTCTGATGTTCTATAATGGTGTGTTTCTATATTCCGTTCTTACCAAAGATCTGCTTTTTATTCCAGTATATTTCCACATCCCAGGTGACTGGTTTCTCTAGTTGGTCTTGAACAGTTAAAGTGTTTCCTAAAAACAAATACTTCATGCAGTGCGTGGAAGCGTTAAAGTGATCTGTTCTTCACGTATAGATGAAGATTCCGTTGAGTTCACATTCTTCTCATGCAAAGTGCAAAAATAAAACCTTGCTTCTTCTAGGAGGACAACTAATGTCTGAGAAGCATTTGGTAGGGGAGTCCTCTATTAAAAAAAAAGAATGAAGATGAATATTAAAACTTAGCTCTTTGGTGTTCCATTCTCTTTCAGTGAGACAGTGGTCTTTTTTCTTATTGCATAATCACATATGAAGTATTTCTGTTGATGCATTCATATTTATTGTTTTGATCAGTCTTAAATTTATGAATATGGAAAGGTGAATAGCTCTTCAGAGATTGGCTAATGGCTGTAACATATGGCAGTTCCAAACCTGTTTGTAAAACCAGCCTTTTCTAGCAGACTGTTAATTCTTAAAAAGATGTTCCTCTTTCTCACACAGTATAAACAAAAGGTGACACTAGTCCTTATTATACCATACTAATAAGATCTAATTTTGAATAAATTTCTTATTTAGTTTTCATGCTGGATTTCTAGTTCCATCTTCAGTAGCACTTTCCTGAAGTCTTGCTTCCAATGGCTCTGCTTTTTCAGGTGAAAATACTGACACAGAATGAGAATAGCAAGCTGCAAGCTGCTCTTGTTAGCAACCTGAAGAGTGCAGTCACAGCAGCCTTTCTCATGTTACCAGAAAGTTTCTCTGAAGAAGACCTCTATATGCAGATTGCAGGACTCTCCTACTCTGGTTAGTATGTGGTGTCTAAAGTCACCGAGGAGAAAAGCTGTAGTTGGAGCTGTTGTACCACAGTTGGAAGTCCCATGTGTAGTAAGTCATTTGCCCTCTTGCTTTGGGCCCACACTGCTGCATGCTCCAAAAATTGTATCTGAATGCTGTGTTACATAACAGCTCCAAATGACTAATTGGGCTTACTCTTAGGAAATAGGTGTAGGTACCTAAACAAAGCTTCTTATACCTGCTTGATTTATGAACAGCTAACTATGAGTGACTGAATATGATGAAATACTGTGGGTTTTTTTCTGTTTGTATGGATTGTATTTTGGTTTAGTGTTTCAAAACCTTGGAAAAAAATTTCTTTCCGCTCTCAGTGTAATGTTGAGTCATCTTATAGTCTGACTCATACTGTGTCATCTCTTACTTTTTGAGCGTGATGTGTTTAAGGTTCTTATTTAGTTAATTTAAGGATCCAGAGTATGATTCCTCAATGTATATTTAACATTCACCTCCTGGTTAGTATTTGCTGACTTTTTTTTAATTTGCTGAGAGAATTTCCTCCTTTCTTTAGTTAGGAAATGAGTATGGAAAACAATTGAGGAAACTACTGCAAATGGCTCTTCAATGTAAGATTTAGTTGTTACAATTTAATTCAGCATTGCTTTTTAAATGTTGATATCCTTATTGAAATCACTATGAACAAGTTTGATTCCTTTATGCAGCACTTCCTTTGCTTGTGTAGAAATGCAAGTTTGGCTTTAAAAAATCACAGGTGGGCAGGTGGGGGTTATAAGCTGCAACTTGGCTGTACTGAGGAGTGTTACTGTTCTTTATGTAATACTTCCCTGAGCAGTTTAGATTGCAGCTTTTTCAGCTTTTCCGTAGTAGTTCTTTTCTGAATTGTTGCCTGTTTTAAAGTGACAATAAGAGGGTGCTGACAATGGGATTGCCAGCCAAGGCTGTTTGCTGCAGGGCTGCAGACCTGTCCACCTGAAACCTGCCCAGCAATGGCATTACATTCTTGGTGGGCACTAGTGACCGAGATACTTTTTTATATAGTTTTTGAAACAGTGCAATCAAATAGAAACATGGGAGATCAGTTACCGTGCTATAAGACGTTGAAATTGGCTCTGCTGTGTGAACAAAGCTAAAGCAGTAAGATTCCCAGTTGGGAATGTTCAAGGAAAAGGCTGTTGATTATATGTTCGTGGATATTTTATTTTGCTTCTGTAGTGGTTTGGACTTTGTTTTCCCCCAGAGGCTAAGAAAAGTGGTAGACCCCAAGGGGTGGAAACCCCTGGAAGTTTTGAAGTTCTGCCCAATGGGCGCTCCTGCAAAAATGTCAACATCCCACAAGCTCACCGGAAGAGATGAGTTGTAGTTTTGGTTGTTGTAGGAGAGGTGGCCATGTTGTAGAGCCACGAGGAAGGGGCTCTGAGCCCCTTGGGCCCTCTGGGCCCTCCCAGCCCTGGCTGGGGGGGACTGCAAAGACTTGAAACAGTGCTAGACTGGACTAAGTGCCTGTAGTTATGCCGGGAGATGTTTTCTCCATGGACGCAGAGCAGCAGCAGGCACTGACCAGAGAAACGGTGGCAGAGAGCCAGAGATAAGAACTGAACTGAAGGAGCAGCAGAAGCAACATGCAGCACCAGAGAAAGGACTCCTGGAAGGAGAGCCGAGGAAAAGAGAACCAGCAGCCTGAGAGACAGAGTTCTGGGGGTAAGACTGTACCAGCCCCCCAAAACTCCTTTGAGATCCCTCTGAGAAAAGAGGGAGATGGACTCCTATTTGAGAGGAGCCTTGGAGTACAGCAGTACCGGAGAGAGAGGAGCTGAGAAGCTCAGAGCGTCCCGGAGCTGGACCGGGATGGCCAGTGGAATGCAGAGGGGGGGGTGACCTTGGTTCTACCCCCCCTTGCACTGCTGCCACGGTGGCAGCCTGAGAGACAGGGCACAGAGGCCCTGCAAGGAGCTGAGTCTCCTGGAGATACCAGACTGTCACGAAGACCCCCCTGTGTCTTCGTGATATGACGTGGTGATACGACCTTGTCTGGGGTTACGAAGCCCACGGAAGACCCCTCGGTTGGAGGCGATGGGGCCGAGAGAGGCTTGAATACCTCCCTCGTGAGTGCTGGCAGAAAGCCAGCTATCAACTGCTGCATGCATGTGAAGAAGACAGACTGCTGCCTCAGAAGATGCTGCTGCTTAAGGACTGGAAGGGATCTGTCCTTCTTTCCCTCCTGGACTTTTATTTTGGAGGGGAGAAGAGATCTGGTCCACTGTAAATACTATATGTCATGGTAGAGATAGTTGTGATCGTGTGCATAATGTGATATGGTATTTATTTGTACAGTCATTGTAATATATTCCCTTTCCCCCACTTTGAGTCTGGTGTGTTTTGTCTGGAAAAACTCATCTCACATTAGGTTGAGATGTGGGAGGGGGAATGGAGCTAGGGAATTGGATTTTGGGGCTATCTCAGACCATGACAGCTTCCATTTTGTTAAGTCTTTCAGAGGGTATACTAGTAGACAAAATTGATTTTATGTGTTACTCTAATTAATCTCCTTGCAGACTGCTGAAAAGAGTTGTTCATGCTTGAATTTAGAAAATGTTTAGCCTTTATTTTTTTATGCATTTTTTGAGAGCAGTGAGTCAGTACCATTTGTATGCAAAGTGTTTGTTTTGTGGCTTGGCATAAATTGAAAAAACTAAGTAAGGCTAGCAAGTTGCCATCTTTCAATAACATTTGTCTCCTGAATGTGGGAAGTGGGAAAATGAATTGATTCAGGATTTTGTTTGTTGATACACGCTGCACTGAGCCTCTAACTCCTGGTTAGAAACACAGGAAGTTACCAGGCTACTACCTAACTGAGGTAGTTATTACATACTAGCTGTCTTTTCACTTATTCTCTCTGAAACTTTTCAGTCATGTATCAGAAGAGAAAGTGTAAAGGTCAGTGATGTAACAGTGGTGTTAAAAGCAGTTGATTTTTGAGACTAATAACAAAATACATGGCTAAGAGGAAAAGATAATACAGTAATCTTACCATGACTGCCATTAGGTGAACTTCAGGTACTGCCCTTGAAGTGCAGAGACAATGCAAATTATTTTCTCTCAATATTGGAAAATTAAGCTTATTTGTTTGTAGATACAAAGTATTAGAACTGGTCAGTTTGTTTAGTAGTCTTTTGAAATGTATGTGTCATTGCAAAGAATGTAACTGCTACTGCCAGTTGACAGCTGGACTTATTTTGTCGTCCACAAGTGAAAATGTGGACATATGGGCTGATGATATTACAGCATATCAGAGGCCACAAAACAATCTTTGACTCTAAGCACGTATTTTCTGTGCTTGAAGATATTTGAATAGCTTTTTGACTAATAGAAGGTGAACCTTGTTGTGAATTATGCAGGCATTGGTAGAACTGAAGAAAAAAGCTTTAGATGACAGCTTTTTACTATATTGATTTCTGTTATATTCTTCTTCTCTGAGTTTTTGGGTTTTTCCTAATGAATTAACTGTGTCTCTTTTCTTGACCAGGTGATTTCAGAATGATAATAGGAGAAGACAGATCGAAAGTGCAGAACATAGTGAAACCCAACATACCCCATTTTCAGAAGCTGTACAGTACCATATTACAGGACTGCCCTCAAGTGGTATATAAGCACCATCTGGGAAGGCTAGAGGCAAGTGTTCTTCAAAACATTTTTAAAACAAACAGGTGGAAGTGCTTTATCACACTGACAGAAGGCAGGAATTATGCTGTGCACTAAGGAGGGCAGTTGTAGTCACTGTACTTGCTATTTGTTATGTTTCTGTTGTTTAGTTAATTCTGCAACCAGAAGATTTGCATTAAATACCAGTCTCTGCATATGTAGTAACTACTGCTCATTTTCTTTGAGTATGGGCACAGAACTAGAGCCCTAGCAAAGGAACAAGAGAAGATGGTTGTAAAACACGTGTTCTAATGACTACCACATGGACACAACAGTCTAGGCAGTGATGAATGAACATACGGTTTATGTTAAAAAGATTAGGTTGTAACTCAGAGGTGCAACTTTCCACAATCAAAAACTGCATCTCACAAGAAAACTCATCAAGTGCTAGTTGTGAAGATCAGCTGACTAAACCTAAGTGAAATTCTGACATTATCTTTAAATACCCATCCTAAACCATTTCTATCCTTAGTATTTGGGAAGTCCAAAATGACCAGTATCTTGAATTCAATCTTTCTGGTATAACATTGGAATTAGGGGAGAGATGCCACACAGCCAGGGGTCCAGTAGCAGTTTTCCTCTTGTAGTTTGCATGTCCATGTGTGAATATTCAAGTGTGATATAAACTTCAACATGAAGTTACAAATAGCACAGGTTGTCTCATGGACTCTTATCCTCGAGTCACCGTGGTAATTATCTCCCAAATGCCTCCTTTTAGGATGTGTCTTTGTTAGAAACTGATATAAGTACAGTTTTAAGCAGACTTGAGTACAGTAAAAAATTGTTCTGCAGCGCTTTGGAGTACAGCATAGGCAGATCTGTCTTACACTGCAGCTGTCTCCATGTTTTCTTATCAGCGTGCTCTTCAACAGTTTAGTGGAAGAAATATTTAAATTAATTTTGAAAAGGATCAGTAATACTTTCTTCAAGAAAAAGGCTAGTTACAATAATACTTCCTGTTGTTTTACCTTTAAAAAAAATCCTGATAACGTACTGCAAATATGCTGTTGGATAATAAATCTGTCCATAATTCCACAATTGTCATCAAGGTTGTTGATTAAATGCCATTATTTCACTGTCGATTTGAAGTAAGGTGCTTTAATATTCTATTGTTCACACCTTGGTGTGATTATTGGCAGTTATTACCCAGACTGAGGTGAATGTCTGCTCTCAGGAGTGCAGTTTAATGCAGAATAGAACCCCCTTCTCCAAGTATACGTCTTCAGAGTTACAGAGAAAATTCTTTCTTAAAAGATTCCTCAAAACCAACTGAAGACAGACACTAGTTCTCACAGTTTTGGTTCAGACGTGGATTCCTCCCACATAATGTTCAGAGCCTGCTCATCGTCGGCTGCCTCTGGAGTGATTCATCTGGAGATCATTTTCTCCACACTGACAAAAGGGAGTGGATAGGGGAACTAGACTCCTGTCTGATGTCTCCATGAAGTGTCTGTGATGTTGTGTGGGAGGAACTGAGCTCTTCATATTTTCTTCCAGTTTTGGAGAGATCTGCTCCAGCATGCATTTTTCAGTGTTTGTGCTTACACTCTGTATAAATATGTACAAGCTTGTACGTTGGCATTGTTGTATTCAAAAAAGGGTCCTTGAATTTCTGATTTAGATTGGAAAATGTGGAATGAATGTTTTCTTCAAATTTTAAAACCAGATGTGGTTTGAGTTTAAAGCAGAGAAAATGGTTTTCAAACTAAACTTGAAATGTGTGTGTCTACAGTTTGATTATATTCAGGCAGAAGAAACTGAGCTAAGTGGTCTTTTGGGAATTTTTTTTTAATTGTAGTGTACTTATGTTTCCAAAGGAAATTGGATATAACAGAAACTATACAGTTTCAATGAAAAGTTACTTACAGAGACAGGAAAATCATGTGTGTCTTTAATAAAAATTAACATCTTTGCATTGAGCTATTCTTCAGGTTCAGAACTGAGATAACTGCATTTCCCTGTGCTTGGGAAGTTTTCGTTACAAATGTCCATTACTTGTGCTAGTGACATAGATTGGGTTCTGAGAGATATTTCTCAGAGGTCAAAGATAGCCAGAAGAATTTTCGGACTTCTTTAAGATAAAGAGAACTGAATATTATTTTCTCTTATTTTCTATAACATTCAGATTGATAAAAGTCCAGAAGGTCAATTTGCACAACTAATGGCTTTGCCAAAGACTCTGCAGCAAAAGATAACTTCTCTGGTAAACCCTCCTGGAAAAAACAGAGATGTGGAAGAAATTTTACTACAAGTTGCCCATGACCCTGACTGTGGATTTGTGGTGCATCAAGGTAGGCCTAACCAGTGTCTGTAATCTCTTTTAAGACGTGATAGAGATAAAAATCTGTATCGGTGTCTGTTTTTCTATTTCAGAAGGATGGTTTAAAGAGAAGGGTGAAAAACCCAAGAGATTAATCACGAGATACCTCCTTAAAAACATCGATTCGGACTTCTTTGATTGCAAACAGGTTATCTGAAAAACTAGCAAATAGCATTCCTAGTGATATAGGAAGATATGTTTTGGTTTGGGTCCTGGAAGAGACAGTCTTTAGGGATTAGTGTGGCCTGCTTAGACTGTCTTAACTCTGTAGTGCTTACATCTTTAGGCATAACTTCATCGAAATACTGAACTATGTATCCTACCAGTCACACATTGCAAGGATAAGCTAATTTTCTGTCTTGCTGACATTACTCTTCCCAATCATGTTGGTTAGTCCAGACATGTAAGCTCTGGCAGAGAACTCAAGCTTTAAGGAAAAAGATTGAGGTGTGTCTCATCATCACAGCTGCTCTGAGGCAAGATTATGTCATATGAGCAAGTTAAAGCTAATGCTGCAGACATCAATGTTTTTATATGCTGCAGAAAAAGGAAAATGTTTAGTACTTGAAGAACTTGACAAATTTTTAGTTCCAGTTAGCAAATTTTGCAAGCTCCTTGAGCACAGCAAAAGTTCCTTCGTGCCTGGGAGCCACTAGACACTCTCCAACTGCTGAGGGAGCTTTTAGACCGTTTTCTGTTTGGGGAAATAAAGCTCCTGAGACTTGCAGTTCTCCATTGGCAGTATAGGATGAATTGCATCTGGACATTGAGGTGTCCAGCTTTTTCATGACAGTCTATGACACCTTCTGTGCTGGGCTGCAACAGTAACAGGATAAAAGCTGAATCCAGGAGCAGTGTTGTGAGCTGCACATGATTTTAGAGCTCCAAGTTATCCCCCCTGAGCTCATCATCTTTGTGGTTGTGTTTCTGTAGGGTCTTGCAGGCGTGGCTGTGGCTGTGCACAGTGGTGCAGCAGTTCAGTATCAAAACACTGAATAGATCTGGTCTTCTCGGCCCAAGCAGTTTAAACTCTTAGGAGAACAAATCAAAACCTCTCTTTCACTTTTGTGGCCAAAAGATTTTCCTAATTCATCACTCTGAGTGAAGACCAGGACAAGCCATTTGGGAATCCTACAAGACAAAGCTGATTACTCAATCTGAATTGCATTATCCCTAGATATTTTGCTAGATCAATATGATTTCTTCCTTTCCCCTCCCTACCCCTCAAATTATTTTCAGTGGAACATTGTATCCCTCTTACTTATTAATGGATTACACTAAACGTTGTTCTTCATTATGAAAGTAGCTTTGAAAGAAGGGTTTAAAAATATTTGAAATTATATTCTAGGTGTTTAATGCAGGATAATATCTTTCAGTTTGGAAGCCTAACTGAGACTACTGCATTCCTACTTTTTTTCTGAAGTATTTAGTAACGTGCAGTACTTTTTTACATATCAGTATGCTTTTATGTGTTAGAACAAACATACCAATACTTCTGAAAAAAAAATTTTTAAGTTTTATATACTTTTCCATTAATACCTAAGAACCACAGGACAATGAGAACTGAGTGTGGCACAGTGCAAAGTGATAAATGAGACTTATCTTTCAAAGCTGATAATTTAGAAAAACCAGACAAGCTCTGCACAATAGTGACATCTCTACTTGATCAGAGAAGTGCAAAATCCCAATTTTGTATTGAAGTAATCATGAAGTATAATTTGTTCTGCTCTAGAATGTTGATACCAGCACTTAGATGAAACAACTCTGAATCCTTTGTGACTAATTATCTTAGTAGAGATGTAGTGGGACCTCTAAATACATTTATTTGATCAATTCCTACTGGTTGTTGTCTGTTTTAATATTGATATGGTTTGGTTTTTTCCTGTATGTTATATATAAAATAAAATAACTTAGAGAATATTTTCAATTAATATGACAAAGCAGAGCAGAAACAAACCATTGTCAGCATAAGTGTATGTTTTACTTTCAGGCTGGCTTGATTGTATAACTAGAACAATATTTGGCTTGTGTATGTTGGAGGGTAAAAAAAAAATCGGCACAAAACTACTAAGATGGATAACATCTGTGTGCTTTTCTCTCTGCAGGCATTTCAGGAATTGTGAGATCTTCCAGTATAGTGCAGAGTGCTAAAACCATACTGACAGCTGGTAAGAATGTGTGTGATTTCCATCAACACAGGTCTTTTAATTTCACAAAGGAAAAATTACAGGGCCCCAAGACTATCTTGTTACAGGAGTTTATTCTTTAAACTTTTAGTGCATTTAATTGAAAGCCCCTGGAAGATAAAAGTAATATTTAAAGCAGAAGATTTATTGTAACTGTTGCAAAATTGTAAAATGCTAAAAGGAACTGGAGTCTGTGCAAGTTGTAAACAAATAAACAAACCCCCCAACAACCCAAAAGTAAGGAAAAAACCAACTTCTGAGTTCAGTTTAATTTTCTATGCAGGCCAGATCTGGCTGATATGCACTAGTTCTGCACTTTCTGCATTAAAAAGGCTTCATGCTTTCTTGAAGTTGCTTAAATAATTTTTTGAACTCATTCATACCTATTCCTAGTTCTTCCACAAAAGCAATTATATACAAATGATGCCAGTACTGATTTTAAAAGCAACTATAGAGGTTCCTTCTGAGCAATCCTTATCCAGACTTCTACAGAGGCTGTTCCCCTCCACTGGTGTTGGTGACTCCATGTTACACCTCCTACACCTAGTAAAGAAACACAGCTTTCAGTGTTCAGGACCATTACAGGTCTGCTGAGTAAAATAAGCAGGAACACTTTTACTTTTTATATGTGTCTGTTAATAGTTTAGTTCTATTAAATGGAAGAAGTCTGACAACACTATTGCCTAACTTTTAGTAGCTGGAGGAGACAGAACTCCATCTAAGTAAAGCAAGTTTGTTATATATCAATTAAGCACATGGCAGATGTTAGTTTCTAATGTAAGGTTTCCAACCTATTTGGTACATTTTTCTTCTATGGTTTATTGTCAAAATTACCTGCTAGTGGTCAAGAATTCTGGTATTATAACATGCCTTTTTTAGAGATGTCAACTTGCATCCTATCTGTTCCTAAATCCATGGAGCGTAGATTTTTTTTTGTGAAATAATTGTAGGGGAGGGGGTCAAAGACAGCGTTATCCTATTGAATCCAGTGCTTGGGAAAGTTATCCTGACTGCCCAGTAGGGCAAAGCTGTTTGTGTGTAACTTAAAGAGCAGGGATAGAGACAGCTGAGCTTTCTAGGTTATTTATGCTCTCCTTCTGTCTGTTCTGATGGACAGAAAATCCCCTCTGGGAGTTATTAGCTCCTTTTGCATGTCATGCAGTAAATCACAGCCTGTGTTGGTACTGGGACTTTTGTGGGGTCCTAATGCATCTTCTGGTAGGACTTGTGATTCTTACCATGTTTTCTGCTTGTGCACTTGAAACTAGTTATTTGGGAAATGCCTTTACTTTCCTTTAACTGCTTTTTACTTTATATACAGTGGCTTTTTTTCCCCTTTAAAACAAACTCGAGTTGTCTCCTAACCAACCAGTTAACATAGAATAACACTCATATTTAAAAACATGTATTTTCTACTGGTGGTTTTAGTGTTGAAAACATATTTTTGTGGTTTGATTCAGGTAAAGCAAAGCAATTTGGATCCTTTGCCTCAAGCATGAGCCAAATTTGAGCAAGGAGGCCCTAGGGGAGTTGATTTTTCTTACTTTTAGCATAATTTAGTTCCTTTTTTTTTAAACATATTTACAGTCTTCTGCCAGAATCTGGCCAAAACCATTTGCAACAGAATTCAGGATTGATGGATTTTTCAGATGTGAGGTTTGTATGATCTTAAGTGATTTTCCCTGGAATTGAGGAGGAATGGGTGTCCATGGGTTTAGGAGTTAGTTAGTAAAAGCTTTTTGCTTGTGGGGTTTCTTTTTGTTGCCTTTTTTTTTTTTTAATAATTCTCTCCAAACACTTATGATTATGTTAAATCTTGCTGTATCTTCTCATGAAGATTTTCTCCCAAGTACAGTTTCTTAATTTAAAAATGCATTCCTGGGGGCAGCAGTACTGCTGCTGCCGTGGCTGTGCCAGTCCTTGGGGCTCTCCACGTTCCTGGAGACACAGAATGTGCACAACACAGGGTGGCTCCTGCATTGGAGTAGTTGCTTGACTCATGCAAGGAATGTGTCTTACAGGGAAGTGTGGAGCTTTAAATTCAATCCCTAAGGATGCCATATTTCTTCATTCTTTGTCCAAATCTTGTCTAATATTCTGTTCCCCTAAGACCTATTTTCACGCTTTCTAGTAGAGACTTTAGGAAAAGTATATGGCTCTGACCTTCTGCAATGCTTAGGTCAAAAATAGTAGCTTAAAATAAGAGAATTATTAAAGAGATTCATGAAATCTCTGGCTTCATTAAATAAGCTCTGACTTTTTTTTTTTTGCTGTTTCTAGTAACTGTATAAATAGTTTGTTTGAGGAAGAATTAGTTTTCACTACATGGCCATCGTTCTTTTTGGAATGTAAGGGAGGACACAATATCTTTTCCTTAGCTGATTGTTTTACTTTAACAACCAAAAAAAGTGAAATGCCTACTCTGGTCCATAGCATGGCTGTCCAATGTACAGCATATTTCTAAATTGAATGCTAAATGTTAAATCAGCAATTGTTGTGCTGAGGTGGCATGCTGGGTATTAACATTATTGGCAAGGAGCACAAGCAAAATAAAGAATTTCAACCCATTTAAGAGAACTTTTTTTTCATCTTTCTCTGCCAATGTGGTTTTGAAGTTGAGCTCTAGCTCTGTGTTTTTGTTTGTTGTTAAATGCCCTGTTTAGTTTTTGAAAATGTGCCTGTGCATTTCTTCGAGTCTGTGGTGAGGTTGCCTCTCTGTTTCTCATTAGAGATGGCACCATGGTTTAATTTGTTTTCCCATGTAGCCAGAGTTTGCATGGTCTTTGGGAACTAACTCTGCAGCTCTTATATTTAGCTCCTCTGAAGGAGATGTTGATACTTATTTAGCTTGGATTTCTTCTTTATATTTCACTCGAGGAATGCAGCAAGCCTTGAAAATTTTTCTATAAATACAATACTATGAATTAAATCATCAATTGAAGCATTTGTTCAAGATACTTTTAAGTTAACACAAATGCTCTGAATAACATTTGTTTTCTTAGAACTGAGATATTAGTATACTAATCCTTGTGTATTCAAGGATTCTTTTAAACTTAAAGGATCAGCTTTACATGTAAAATCCTCTGTAGAGTTCAGATAACTGATGTCTTCATCAGCTGCCTGAGCAGATACTGCATTGCCACCAACTTCACTGGGTATATGTGTACAAAGTTTGCATATGTCTGTGCATGACACACTATCAGTATGTAACTATTTGCCTCCACATGACAGCTCTTCAGCAGTACATACATCAGTCTTTCTTTTTAAAAGGACGTAAGGAATACTACATCCAGGCATATCTACCAGAAAACTTTGGGGTACTTCAGCCAAATTGCTGTCTTACAACACTAACACTTCCAAAAAACTCAATGCAGATTGTTAAGTAAAACCAGATACAACTTGTGTTTACACTGAGATGCTGTGGTCTCGGTCCCATGTGCATTAGGCCTTTGTTCTGTATCCTATAGTGGAAAAATTTGAAGGGGAGGTGGAACCACCAAGTCATAGATTCATAGCTGAAGTAAGAAAGACATTTTTATGTGGGTCAACTGCTTCAGATTCTGAGACTGAGCCATAATTACAACCATTAACTTTTACTACAGATGTGACTCATCACCCTGAGGGCTGCTTTAAGAAACCAGCTGTATGTATAAACCTGCATTTTCCTTTGCAGGCTGATGTGGTGGGGCAGAAATGTAAGCATCTCATTCCATAAGCCTCTGGTGGGTGGAGTTCAGTGGAGTGCTCCCTGCAGGGGGAAAATAGGAAAGAGAAAAATCTCTTTCTGTTGAGCTGCTTCAGGAGGCAGGGTGAGTTGGCAGGCTGGTAGAGCAAGCTGACTTGCAGGCTGCAGTGCCAGCACAGTTAATTCCAGTCCTGCAGGGCTGAATCAGCTGCGTTGCTGTTGGTCTGCCACATTATCCTGCGCTTCCACAAGTACTCTGACTTCATTGTAATGGCACAACAGCATCCATCCTGTCAGAGCAATTCCCGTATTGGAGGGGCTGGATCCTGCATGTACAGTACCTGGGAGACTGGACAGTCATTTTCAAAGCCATACACACAGTTTTAACTTTGGAGATTGGAATCACTTCTTTCATCTATGTGCTATGCCCGAGCTCAGCCTGGCCTTGTTCTGCAACTGGAATTCTTACCCTGTGTGCAATTCCAGTGTGGATATGTGAGTCACCTTGGAATTTACATGATTATTCACTTATTATTTGAGGAGCCTGTCATCACTTCAGTAGTGTGCTCGCTTTTACAAAAACCTATTAATTGTAGAAAAGTTAGAGCATACAGGATACAGCGGGTTTGTAAATTCAAAATACAGGTATGGATTATTTCTTACGAAAGATAAAGCTGAGCTTATTTAAATTGCAGTTAGAGGCACCAGAAGTGTAAAACTGATTCTATACAGCGTATTTATCATAGGATTTTTACCCTCAGAAACAGAGCATGCACCTTTCCTTGTTACTGCATACTCGTTTGACTTCTTGCTACTCTAGACTGTCAATACCGAATGTATCTTTTCACTTGAAATATTTTATCTTCATTTGATTGCTTTCTAAGGTCTTTTTCAAATTAAAAATGATCATACCCTCCTCTCCTCCCTCTCCCCAAGAAAAGACCAGGGCAGTAGATGGCTAAACCTGTGGTACTTGTTCCAGAATATCTTTCCTTGCACTCTGGTCTGTCATACTGTGTGCCTTACGGCTAAATTGCTTCCGTGTATTTTTAGTCAGTCTTGTGAGGTGTTCAATTAGATAAACATAAGAAAGATTGTAGTAAGTATAACGTACCATACTTTCGATCTCTGCATTTAAGTGTCAAAATGAAAGCTTCTTGTGCAGCATTAAAAGCTTGCCTTTTCAGTTTTGAATTTGTAAGGGTGTGATTGAACTGTGTTGTAAGCTGAAAAGTCACTGTGTCTTATGTTGGGGGTTTTTGTTTGTTTGTTTTGGGGAGTATTTTAAACAAAAAAAGCTGAAAGATGGAAAAACAAGTAGCTCCACTTGCTAGGATCTCAGAACCCCACTGAAATGCCAAAAGTAACAGTATTTTGGTTTTAAGTTTACAAATACTAGATGACTAAACTCAGCAAAAGGCTATGTCTTTTGTTTATTCTCGGTCTGTAAGAGATGGCTGGTAGAATTTAAGTGTTTAACTCTAAGGGTGCACTTCACAAATTGTGTGGGAGTCATCCTTGGTCCCTTCTTATCTAAAACTCCTAAATGCTTGGAGGCAACGACTGCTGCTCTGTCTTTACAAAAACTGAGACATTCCTGCCTTCACTGTAGGCCCAGTGTGATGGTGTGGTATTTACCAGAGTTCACTACTTGTGGGCAGGAGAGTGCTAGAGTATGGCAGCTATTCTGGCTTCATACGAGGTTTGTTATAACCAAGTGACAGCAGGTTATTCTAAAGCAAAATTGGTCCAGACAACATCCCCGTGACACTTTTCACATTGAGGTCCATGGTACACCTCTGATATTGGCAGTGTCTCCAAAGTACAGCTGCTTGTCATCATCTCCTTATTTTTGCTGCTTTCAGTTCAGCTGGGTATGTGCCTTGCCTGGTGTTCCAGACCTATCATTTCAGTATCATCTCCTAAGCACACAGATTGAGCAGTTTTATTCTCTGGCAGATGTACCATTCTGTCAGTTATGAAATTGTACCTGCCCTTGTACCTAGTTGGCATGAGGCAATAACAAAATATTCAAGGAAGTTACAGTGTACTTTACAACTTGTTGAAACCAGAACAGATTTGCACCTTAACAGTCAGCAACACTGTTCCTATGACAAACCCAGATCTCTGTTTTCACTTTTAATTCAAGAGCCTTTGCATAGCAGTGCCTGGGTTGCTGATGGTCTGCAGGGTTTGATTAAACACGTAGTTGAGGTGGGCATCAGCATGATGCTTCTCAGTTCTATCTGTAGAATTGGTCTCCAACAAGGCAGGCAGGTGCCCAGTGTATGGCACTAAGCACAGCTGTCTAACATCTGCTTGGCACCAGGAATTGGCCCAGGAAGGGGTGGAAGTGTAGAGCTTGTTATCTACCAGTCACGTGGACTTTGCTTGTTGTGCTTGAGCAGGATGTTCTTTTGTCCTGGTTCAGCCCTCTCACTCCTTCCCCTTTATCCCTTCAGTAAAATTTTGGCTACATAGCTTTGGGCATAGCTTGAGGTTCTTCATCTATTCTCCAGAATCTGGGAATTGGGCTCCTGTCTCAAGAGCCAAACTGCTTTGACAACTAGATTTTTCTCACAGGCATGGCCAACTAAGTAACCTGCATGGCTACCGGCAGCCTGGAATCCTCCGAACAGTCCTGCTTAGGTGTCCTGCTGCACAGTGGAATCTGGCAAGTTGCTGGTGTCCATTACCAGCCAGAGTGGAATCCTACTCAGCTGGACATACCTTGCAGTAGATGAGAAAGGGCTTGAAAAAGCACAGTGTATTAGTTTGGTGAGGATCTGCAGTACACACAGGTGCGTCAAAAGCCTTCCTGTATGTAGCATTTAGAAACAGTGATGCGAAGGAGAAGTTTCCCTCTGCACCAGTTAATTGTTTCAGCAGGAATCTCTACATTTGCTATCCCTCGGTTATTGTCTGTACAATGTGCTTGTATACAGCATTGTCAGGCCTTCAGAATGAACCTGTTTATTGTACATGCTTGGGTACTATTAAAGGGTTTTTTTGTGTCATTATCTACTATGTTATGAGGGTTATTTGCATATCTGCCTGGTGGATTAGGTTGTCATTCCTACATGGAAATACTTCACTTGGTGTAGTAAAAGCTATTATCTGAGTCAGCCTTCCTAAATGTTTATATTTTTCATTTTGTCTTTTTTTTTGTCCTTTTTTTTTTTAGGGGCAAAGAAATCTGTAACTTACAGTATGAAGAAATTATATAAAATGACAAAGGGATGGTTAAGGAAGACATCTTGAGTCTTGATGTAGTATGTATGGGTAAATAAATGGTACTTTTTCTCTAAATATTTTGCAGATACCACTTTGCATACTTGAGAAGATTACAATGCATTTAAGAAGTCCATTCTAATGATTTACATGCCCAATATTATGAATGAAAAGGAACTTTTTAGTGGGAGAAGGTTTGCTGGTAATAGGGCAAAGGAATTCTACTCTGTAAATACTGAACTGTATTGTATACTAGAGCTTGGATTTTCAGAAACCCCTAGTAAAAAGAATTGATTGTACATATGAATGAAAACCCAAAGCCACTCATTTTCTATGTATTGCTAGCTTTATTTTCCAAATTACCCTCAGACTCTTTCAAAATAATCAAGTTCTTTCAGGGACTTATGGAACTGGAGAGCCCACTGAATTTTGTGTAGATAAGAAACTGTCCTTTCACATTTCTGCATTGACAAGTTCATCCTTAGAATTCTTCTGAGGATCCTCACTGGATGCTTCTGCAGGGCAGACCTTATGGAAAGGACATTTCTTCTCACGTGTGACATTCTGAATCCAAAAAGCTTCCACGGTGACTTTCAGTGTGGGAAAGAGAAATGAGCAGCTTGTCAGGTGTCAGGTTTCAATCCTTTCATAAAAATCCTTTTATGAGCCTGAGATGAAAACTGCCCAACTCATGGCTCAGCCTTGTCAGAAGAGCCAGAGTTGGAGGGAAAATCATAATTCCATGGACGTACTTGTGCAGACTTATGAAATATGTGTTGTTTGGCAAAAGATTCTATCAAAGCACTTTGAAGTTGGGAATATTATGAACAAAAGCACATATATTTTGATTCTTTGATTTTATTTTTTTTCCCCTCAAAATACTGTCCACAAAGGTGAAACTTGTTTTCCCTTTAAAAATTAGCTAAACTAAAGAAAATTGGAGTTTTACATAACGTGTTAATCATGCCATTAAAGATTGGACATTTCTGGCAGTTTTCATGTGTGGTGCAATAAATTTGGAGGATCTTTTGTAAACAGAATATTTTTCACACTCAGGTGGGTTTCCTACTTTGGGAAGTTTATCTTATTAGAAATAAATTTAGACAAGATTTAATTTTGTTTGTGAAAATGTCAATGATAAAAATAATGTAATGGTAAAAAATGGAAATAAAATGTATCTTTCCTGATTAGCATGTTTTTTTTTTCTTGTATATTATCTGATCAGTAGGGTTATCTCAAGCTACATTCAATTTAGTGATCTCACTTTAAATTATTGGAATGAATTTATCTGTTAATTGTTTCCAGGGAGCAGTTCAAAGCTTGAATTTAAGAAAGACAACAGAAAATGTATTATTGTATGTAATATGACTCATGCAGGCTTACTTTAATCATAGGACAACTTTAAAATATTGATTATTTTTAAATATTTGAGTTTGAGATTTTAAACCAGAGTCAGGAAATAAATGTGTCCCCTTTTTAAAATTATTATCTTGAAAAATATTATTCCTGTGAAATAGTAAAGAAATTACTGTGAAAATTTCTAAGGCCATAGGTAGATTCCTAAAACTTTGCATTATCCATTGGTGATAGATCCAGAATGTGTGAGCTAAATCCCCTCAAATGTCCCTTTGCTGATATTAGAAGGCTCATGACCCTTTTTATGGTGATGAAGAATGTTTGTATGTGTGGTATTAGTATTCCCTGTCCCCCCTTACTAATGGAAGAGGCCAAATTCCCCAATTTGAAAAGTTTACCATATAAGAAACGTAACCAGGGGCTTTAAGCCACTGCTTAAATAAACTTAACTTGGGTTTTGGCTGGATTTTTTTGTTTGCACGAAGAGGTTCCTTTGTAGATAATCTAGAAGTCTTTTATACATAATACACCCTATCCACCTTAAAATTAACCTCATATGAGTTAATTAAGTGAGGGCTTACAGTAGCCATACCATTTTTAACATTTCAGCATAAGCTCTAGTAAAAGAAATCTGAAATCAGATGTTGACTTGCTTAGGTGTGCTCGGTGGGAAGCTCTTAAGAACAGAAAACACTGATCGCAGTGCTAGAAACAGACCCCGACAGATAACAAAGCTTTTGGACAAATGAACAGCCTGAGAAAAGATTCAGGATGGAGCCATGGCCTTCTGAATGAAATAGTTTCCAGGTAAGAAGTGAGAACTGCCTGATTTAGTCATCTAACAAGGTGACAGCTTTGATTAGTTAGTCCCAAATGAAATGCTCCGTAGGGGAACACTTGGGCACATGTGCAGCAGCATAGACAGAAAACTGATTTTTTATCTGGTGTTAGAAAATTTTTAGTAGGGTCCAGGGTAGTATCTGGGGAGGGAAGGAGGGAGGAAAGTCCTCATCTGTGAAAGTCTTAGGATACAAAAAAATTGGAAAACTGAAATTGTCAGCACATAAATTATCCTTGTAGGAAACGGGACAATTTCAAACATATCCCTCTGCATAAGTAGTTAGCAAAACTATTTATCGTATTTATCTTTTGTAGTTTTGTTCTTTTTCTTTGAAGGCTGTGTGGGAAGGGGTCTAAGAGAGCCTTCGCTCCTTCCAAAGAAGAGGATGCCAACCACTGGTGAGGATTTGTCCTCGACAAATTCAGAGAGATCATTCCTAGTGAACCTGTATTTTTCTGTGTGAATTCTGTTCCTCTAGTCAACTTTTGGAAAATAAACACTGTAAGCAGAAAAACGGAGTTGGTTTTGTGTTTTTAAGAAGTGCCAGTTACTGCACACTGGACTGTTAGAAATCTATTCCATATACTGAATACATTACCAGATAATTAAGGCTAACAACTAAAATGTTATTGCAGATTTTGCCTCATTTATTTCCTCTTTGTGTCCATAAATGAAAATGTAACTATTGCATTTCTGATTCCCATAATTCCCTCAAGGATGCAGGCTTTACTAGGCATTGCATAGAAATCTACAGGCTGACAGAAAACAAAAGGACATCTGTGGTGCACAGATGGAGCTAAAAGTTTTCCATAGAATAAGCAATATGACCAAATTAAGAAAAAAAGAGGCAGTGGCAAAACTAAGACACTTAGATTTTAATAAGCTCATTCCTTCCTCCTGTAATAGTGGAATGTAGTGAAGTTTTAAACATCACAAGGCATTCTGGGGAGTAATATTGAACAAAACCATCCTGACGAACCCGTGTACTCTTTTCTTTTGTTTCCTTAACACAAAAAGGTGAGACTGGGGCTTTTTAACCTGGTTAAATAACAGCACCACAGGATAGGAAACCATAAATTGTAACTGCTTCAAGCACTGGTTGAGAGGGATCATGTGTCATAAGATTGCTCAACATCTGGTTGAGAATTCCTATTAGCAGAGCATTTCATCACATGCTTGACTTAAAATGCATAGGTTAGCACTGTTTTTGAATAGGGATGTAATTCCTTTTTGACATAATGGCAACATATAGCTTGGCCTTGAATCTACAGGAGTAAAAAAAATTGTACAAATCCTTGATGTAGAGAGTTGTACAGTACAGTTGGACATGGCTGACCCCCTCCTGGGATACGGCTGCCACATAAGTAAAGGCTGGATTCTAACAGCTCATTCACTCTGGTGATTTTTATTTGTTACCTTGAAGTTGTGGCTGTTTTCCCTTCTGTTGAGAGAGGATGCCTTGGAGATATGTGTGCACCAGAACTTTAAATAGAGTATCTTGTGGGGATATCTTGTATCCTGAGAGGCTCAGTGTTTCTCCTTCTCTGCAGTTTCTCACTATTGGTGAGTTTGGGGATAAGCAGCAGTTAAATCTGGAATTTTTTAATGATGAAATGCAGTTGTAACTCTAGGGAAGCATTTGAAAGAGCAGCTTTCTTTAAAAACCCTTAGTAATACAGTCAAAGATCGTGGCTAGGCTTCACGAATGAAGATTTGGGAACAGTCAAAGGTAATGTCCTGAATATTAAAGTAAGACACATTTAAGAGTGGGTTTGGTGTTTCAGAAGCTGCTTGCCCCTGAAATGGTGCTTCAAAACATTAGAAGGCAAAAACAAGTCTGTGATGTGAGAATGAGTTGGCCTCATTCCTGCAGTGAAACAGCAGTCTTCATCCTGCACCTTGCTAGCTGAGCAAGGGCATTTATTCAAGAAATAAGGTTCTCCTAGAAAAAAAATAAAAGGTAATGTACTGCTTGCTGTCTGGCAGCTAATTAACCATTTTTATGTGCAGCAGATGCTGTGTGGCATCAGGCCCTCCCAACCCTTACACTGTTTGTCCTGCCATGGATTGCTCTGCCCCTCTACAGGTGTTACTTTACTGAAGTTTGCCTGTAACCTGAGCTGGTCATGTTTGTCTTACATTGCTGGATACCCCCTGCATATCTTGATTTTGCTTTATGAACTTCCTTTGTGTATAGCACTATAATGGGTGGCTTCTTGCTCTTTGGAGAGAGTTTTGCAAATCCCAGTTTAATAGTTCCTAGTTCACTCCATCTGTTGATACATTGCCAGTATCTAAGTCTGTGCACTAAATCTTTGTGAGACTTAAGTCCTTCCTCGTCATCCATATAGGCTGAAATCTTCAACTGTATTCTGTTCTGTAAATCATTTATCTCTGTGCCTTTTAAGAAGTGGCCTACCTTTCCCCTTGGGGCCATTGGTCTTGAACGTATTTATTTTTTTGGCAGAGTGCCATGAATGAATCATAGCCCTGAGCAGCTCAGCCTGGGCTTCTCTCGACTGTTAATAGGGAATACTTGGGGCAGTTGTTACAACGCCTTGCTCTGGGAGACTTTTAAGAGAAGAGAGATTGATTTCAGACTTGTTAGTTGCTTTTGAAGTTCCTCAACAGTATGTGGAAATGATTTCTTACGGTTGTACAGCTGTACACTAAAATAACTCGTGATTGTTGAATGGGAAGTTGGTACATGGGAATATGTTACTAACTCTTTGTCCTAATGAGGTGTTTGCTCTTTCACAAAAAATAGTCACTTCAGCTTTTCGTTCCACTTGTAACTTTCCTGTTTATACCTTCCTGCTCCATTTCCATACTGCTTTATTGTTTCTCTTCTTGACTTAATTCTCAAGTCTTTCATTCTGTTCTTCAGACATCCCTCTTTTTTGGTTTCGCTGTCCCACATGGATATTGTTTCATACTCCCTCCCTCTTTTTCCTGTGTAACAGTGCTTTCATTAAAGGCAACCAGGCAGATGATTTATTTCTGATGTCTTAAAAAGCTTCTTTGTAATGAAGAGCCTGGAGCCAAGCAAACCACTAAGGATTTCCATAGGTGAGTCAGCAGCATGGGCCTGGCTGGCTCTGAGACCCACGGTGCCCACAGTGAAGTATGGAACTATCTCATGCTTCAGAGGGAATGAAGTAGATGACAATGGGAAATAAAAATTTGACTGGATACATCACCATAAATTCTGGTTTCCACTTTGTTAACTTGTCCATTGTTGTGAGCAGCCCATTTGGCTAGCAGTGGGATGTTTGGCTGCTCCTAAACTTTGGATTTGGGCAGTGCACAGAGCTGTAGGACACAGTATGCTGACCTCCTCCATCAGCATTCGTGGGATGTGTTCTTTATCACATGCACATTTCCCATTTTCCAGGTGTTTGAGCATTGAGTTTCTCCAGCTGGTTGGCTGTAGGACCCCTCAAATACCACCTATATTGAGTGCAACTGACTTAGTTTTAACTGCAGAGCCTGTATTTCTCACCTGTGCTTCAGGAAGGCTTCTCTTTAGATTTGGTTGACCTTCAGTGTGAGGGAATTGGACCAACAGATGGGGAGTAATAGCTGCAACCTGATCATAAACAAGGTGCCTGTAGGTTAGCACACAGCTGAGCAAGTGGGATCCCTTTCTGTTAGAGGGATGCACTTTGGAGTATTCCAGAGCTTCCCGAGGTTTGCAACAAAAATCTTTGCCAAACTGGGAAGATAAAGATGGATCCAGAGACCAGTATTCCTGGGTTGCTTAGGGAACTGACCTGTGAGGTCCTTGTTCTCCACACTGAGGTAGTAATGCTACATCCTGTTCTGACTTGGGAAACTTCAGAATAAACGGAGCCCTTGGTGAGTGTCCAGTGGAGGGGGATCCAAGCAGGGTTGTGACTCATGCCTTTTCCCAGCAATTAATTTAAAAATAGAATTGACACTGTTTTGAAGGTCAGAATGCCAGGTCAGTGTGTGTCTGATAGTTTTTCATGGGCAAGGTGTTGATAGAGGACGAAGTATTCTTCATTTTCAAATTCAGTTCTGCTGGTCTACATTCTGTGCAGGAAGAAGAGACATTACCTCTACATAGGTATTTTCTGGCATATTTTTTGTCTGAGTGAACAGCTGTCACTTTTGATACTGTGGTTTCACAAAATTTTGCAGTGACCTTATTTACCTGTTTTTCTAGATAAAAATTTACATCACAGTTGCTAACTGATCCTGAACTTAATGACTGCCTTAGGGAGAGGCAGGAGTCACTTTACTCTTGCACGTTTTAACCTCTTACTCAGACTGGTTAAATCAGAGATGTTAAGAAATGGGTTAAATTTTAGTACATGAACAGGAAGCTTTGGACTATATACATTCTGAAATTATTCGTGAAAGCTGCAAATGTTTTAGTTACACCTTCAGTAGAACTTTCATGTCATTTTTGCCTTCACAATTCAGCATTCTGCCCAAACCTTTTCATTAGTGGTGGGGGGCTATTTTGACGATTATGCACATTTTTTTCCTGAGAAATTGAAGATACTGCAGCTGTAAAGGCAATATTCTGAACTGACTGAAACTTCATGCAAGTGTCATGGCTATAGAGGATTCCTTCTGCTTTTGAATTTGAATAGAATTTGATTCTTGGGAGCTTGCAACCACAGGGGACAGTCTTTAAAAACAAAACAAACCAAAAACCGGTCATAACACTATGTCTTTTGGTTCCTTCACTTGCTTTTGTTGTACTGTGAGACTAGCTCTGAAAGACTCAAG